ATGTGTATATGTATAGAGTATGTACATGTGAATATGCATATATTATATATGTGAATATGTATAGAGTATATATGTGAATGTGTATAGAGTATATATGTGAATATGCATATAACATATGTGTATATGTGTGTATTTGTGTATGTGTGTTTTCTCTTTGCGAACCGCGCCTCTGTGAGCGGCCATGGGATGCGCTGTAGCAGGGCAGCCTAAGTCGGAAGCAAACTTTCGCTTGCTTCCTCGACAAGTGTTTTGCTGTGTTGGTCGTGTGTTTGTATGGCAGAGTCTGCCTGTCTGTGTCATACGGACGATCTCTCCCTCTGTATAGGTCGCAGGATGCATGTCTGTCTTTACGTGCGTGTATGTGCATGTGCGTGTGTTGCTCCCTCCCCGCCTCCTCAGAATCGTAGGCTGCACTGGCGGTACAGGCGAGAACGAGCACTACCCCTTGTGGTTCCGCTGCCGTGAAGGCTTTCTGTATCGTTGCGGAGAATGCGATCAAATATTCATGCATGTTCGAGTTCTTTACTCTCTTCCCGATGGGAAGGATCCGTTCCCGCTTGATCCGGATGTACGTACGGCTTTGTATTCTGCTGAGGAGGCTGTAAAGGGCTGCTTGTGGCGACGTTTTTCGTTAAGAAGCAGAACGCGAGAGGGCGCCTGCACGGGGGCAGCATGCTCAGGCGGACGTATATAGGGCGCTGAGGGATGGTCGTTATAGCAGTGGCAGTGAGGGGTGTGCACTTGCTGATGCTTGCTGCAGGTGAGCGACGTGTTCAGCCTCTCTGCGCTCGAAAAGGCACAGCGGCAGTGGAATAGTGGGGAGTATATCATGTGGCCGACAGGGGAGGAGGCCTACAGCCGGCTGTTTCTGCAGGGTGAGAATTATCGTAACCTCTGCCACTCTGCGTAGTGTAGCCTTCCAGACTGCATGGGGTCGTTTCTGCGCTCATACGCGTGCCCAGCGGTCTGTCGGGTGTGCCGCTAGACAAGGGGGCTTGGCTCTTTCTGCGAGGCATTTTCGAGGGTGGGAACAATGCGTGCGATGCAGGCAAGCTGGGCAACACCGTGCCGGAGCAGCTCGCTGAGGAGCTTAAGGCTGTAGAGTGAGCACGCGTGCTCTCCACCAAGCCATAAATGCCGCACATTCGAAGAGCCGTTTTGAAGCGCTTCGCAGAGGGCGTGAAAGACGATTTCCTATCTGCATCCTCGAAGACAGCACCAGGAACACAGTCTTTTGCTTACAGTCGCTACGTGGTATCTGGGGTTTTAAGGTTTACAAAGGCCTTGTCTGCCAATAGTCTAGGGGCCAAAAAATACGCAGGGGCGAGAAAATACATGGCAGACACACCTCCTCTGCATAGCCTGAAGAGACAGAGGCACCCGTGCAGACTGTAGGGTCAGGCAGAGGAGGTAGGCGTGAGCGAAGCAAGCTTTAGAAAGAACGCAAAGAAATAACTCGCGAGGCTGCAGTGATCTGTGGCGGTCCACGAACCCTTGACGGTTTCATACCCCCTAAGGCACGCAGCGCTTTTTTGCAGTCTGCTCTTTCTCCCTCATTCAGTCTCACGCCACCAGCGCGGGGTGTACGTACACCCCAGGGCCTGCTGCCGCACCTGTCTGCTGCCGAGAGAACAGGAAAACACGAAGTGTGGCACTGGCCGTGTTCAGATGACGCCAACGACCCGCGTTCGCAAGCGTCCATGACCAGCTGTCACACACACTGAGTGTAAAGACGCGTCCAGCCCCTCTTGTGCATGCATGTATACTTGCATGCGGCTATGCCTCCGCAGCGCACTGGGAGTGTGTGTACGCTCTAGTCCTTTGCCCCTGACTGTGTAATGAATGCGTGACTTCTATCTCATGCGGTTTCCCGCAGTTTGCTTATCTTTGTGCTTCTGCACAGGGTTGCATGCAGCCGCCTGGCCGGGTCTAATTCTAGCTGTCTGCCTACACACAGCTACAGGAAGAAGCTCAGTGCAGGCTCTTAAAATGCCGACTCCAGTCGTGCACGTCTATGAGCCGCCTCAGGCTCTCTCGTAACTGCCTGTGCTGTGCATTGCTGGTCTGTAGTCCCCTTCACCTGCCTCGCTGAGGCGGCACCAGCTGTCGCTGCAGAGTAGCAGCAGCAAGCCTGACGGCTATGAAAACTTCACCTCATGTGTTTTCCAGGAGCTACGCGCTCTACTTTTGTCATTACGGAAAAACCCAGGGGCGTCGCCAGAAGTGTGCACCACACGTGGAAATGGGCCATGCGGCGCATGTACACCTTGAACTTCCTCAAAGAATAGACTATGCGAATAAAAACCACAGAGAGAAGCTTTCTCAATGAGGCGCGTGCCGCAGGACCAGGCGACAGGAAGAGCGACGCATAGAAGGATGCAAGAAACGCTGTAACTTACTGCTGCACGCAAACAGTATCGCCCCAGCTACGAAGAAAATATACACGAATACGATGAGTCCGTGGTCTCTACAATGATGCGTCGGACACTGCACATACATGTGGTGTATGGACGTATGGAGTTGCCCATGCTTGCTGTACAGACACAAGGAGCTGTACTGAGACGAACTCGGAAACTCAGAGCATGCATGCAAACAAATATATACATACATGCAATGTATTTACATATATAACTAAATATATATGTGCATATGCGGCAACCTAAGGCCTATTTACTGTAGTATCCAGGCATCCCCATGCGCAAAGAAAGCTACACTTGAGTACGCATGTGTATGAAAGATACATAGGTATGTGATCAATAGTGGACTTGCATAGAATGTAAATGTACATATGTATACATACAGTTCAAAGACTTGCATCCATATGTACAGGCAAAAATAGGATACCCCACAGCGTTGCAGATGAAAATCAGATATATACATAATTTCATATTATGAATGTGCGCGCACTCACGCGTAATATATATATGTATATATATATATATATATATATATATATATATATATATAGATGTGCGCACATGCATAGATACGGCATGATCGCGCATGCTGTGCATTAAGCAACTTGCATGTGGATGCAATGGGAGTGCAGATTTGACGAATTGCCCATGTGTTTTCCCCTAGGCCGCAGAAAGAAGAGAGTAAATCATCATTTGCTGCTTTCCCCGTGCAGAGGATGACGATAACCCGATACAGAGAAGCAGTGAACACCTGCATGAATCAGCAAACAAACGCGAGAAAAGCAACAGCAACACGAGCACGCAAGGACTTTTGCATGCAACTCAGCAGCTGTCCGCTGTACATACACACAAGAGCGCTGCGCGCCTACGGGGCTTGCAGTCCACAGAAGCGTCCCTACAGCAGCTTGCGTCATCACGACGTCCCGTGAATGCATGCAAGCGGATCTCTGCGGCGACAGAGAGTGTGCATGCATGCATGCTCCTCTTTCTGCATAATATGCCCCTGAAATGAGCACGCTCTCAGACTGCTGCATGACTGAGCAAGCTGAATCCATGCTAGGCGACTAGCGTCTAGACACGCTTTTGCGCGTGTTGCAGGAGGCCACTACACACACAGAGCTGAAGGGCCGTGGCGTCTCCAGGGCGAATGTGCATGCACCACAGCAGCAGTTTGCAGCTCCTCCCTTTGTGCTGCTGCTACACTCCGAGGGCGTCTTGTAACAGCTTCGCACCAGACACCATAAAAAGTGTCTGCCAAACACCTAATCCCAAGCGTGGCACGATGCCCCGTAGAAGTGCCTGGAAGCCTTCCGCTTTTACAATTTGACGCATCACCTGAAGGCGTCCGTAAGAGCCAAGCACAGCAGCAGCAACGCAGCAAGCCTGCTTATTACGTGCAGTCGCAAGAGCCTAGGCAGAGAGGCAGCAAGACACCACGAAAGAATAGGCAGAGAGGCAGCAAGACACCACGAAAGAATAGGCAGAGAGGCAGCAAGACACCACGAAAGAGTAGGCAGAGAGACAGCAAGACACCACGAAAGAATAGGCAGAGAGACAGCAAGACACCACGAAAGAATAGGCAGAGAGACAGCAAGACACCACGAAAGAATGGGCAGAGACAGCGTGGCGTGGAGGGGTCCCCCTAGGAAGGGCGAAAGGAAGCCGTGCAAGGCACTAGCAGGCAGACGAAGGGAGGGGGGGAGACGCAGTTTTGACACGAATGAGACAAGTTGGGGGAGGGGGAGGGGGCCACAAATACCAAACTTCTTGCGCACTCGGATAATATTTTCTCTAGGTTGCCCCTCTGCAGCAGCGCTCTGCATTTGAATCCGTGCAACTTCGAAGGGCTGGTTCCATGTGGCCAGTGCGCCTCCCTACAGCCACAGGGATACCCTCTCACAGAACACATCCTGAACTCGAGACCATTGCTACCTCATCTGAGCATGCAGCAAGGGCAGCCCTCTCATCAAGCGTCACAGGAAAGAAAAAAGGCAGAAATAGCAGCAGAAACAGCAGCAGATGGACGTACAACGCATCCGCTGAGGAGTTCTTCGGCAACGGTGAGCTTGAGGGCCGCAGGCTGCTGCTGCTGCTGCTGCTGCTGCTGCTGCTGCTGCTGCTGCTGCTGCTTAATGCTCTTCCTGTTAAGCAGCCACGTTCGAAACATCTCGGTAAATCCCTGGCGAGATGCCCAATTCGTCATTTGTCGGAGAGCAATGGCAGAGCCTCCCGGATACAGTCCCTGAGGCGAATTTCCAGACACACTCGCACAAGGTCTAAATCTTGCAGCCGACGCGTGGCAGCCTTTCCCCCCTTCTCCCCCCTTCGCGCAGCTTGTGGGAAAGGCAGCTGCGCCGTCCTCAGCCAATAAAAGCATGGGAGCTTGCAGCAGCAGCAGCAGCAGCAGTAGAGCCAGCGGCAGCATCAGGAGCGTTTGCTGTCTTCCTCTCATCGAGGCCAGCAACGCCGCAGCGACAGTGCTTGCAAACCACGCAATAAGAGCCACAACTCTTCTCCTACCCACCCTTCCGTTGGTGTTGCTGCCGCTGCGGCAGCAGCACCAACGGGAGAAACACGTGGAGCGTGGGTGGGCGTAAGCTTACACGGATGCCGTGTGTCTTTAAAATACTCCGAAATTTTTCCGAAATTTTGACCCCCTCCTCGCCCGTCACAAGTGCCGTGACGGCAAATGTGCAGGGCCCCATAACGAGCGTTTGGCATGCGCCTCCTCCAGCTCCAGCGATAAATCCAGCGTAGCTGTTGGACAGCTCTAGGGAGCGACATGCCTTCAGCAACGTCTCCTGAAAAGCGGCACAGTTTCACAGGGGAGTCTCAGCAGGGGACGCAGATCAGAGAGACAGAGAGGTGCGAAAAGGGCAAGGAACGGCGGCAGGAGCCACGAACGCCACGGCAACCCCGCATAAGTGTCTCAACGGCAATGGATTATCACAGCTAGCTAGCAGTCCACAGCTTTACAAGTACCTTGCTATAGAGAAGGACTGCACCCTTCGAAGCACTTTCCAGAAGCTTCGCCGACGTTCCTTGCCAAAATCCCCCCAAGCCACGGGATCTCCAAATCGACGAGAACGCCTCCAATGTGCCTTCGCTTCTGTGTCTGCGCATGCACCCCGGATAACGGCAGCCCTTAAACGCGAGATGCTGGAAACGCCACGCTCTGGCCTTTTTAATCGCCATATGGGCCTATGCATCGTCGACCTGTGCATGCGTGTCGGTGTTTGTGCGCCTTTGCGCATACACGTAGACCTTCCTCCAGCATGCATGCGACACATGTAAGCTATGCAACGACAACCTGCATGCCAGAAAAGCCCCAACACAAAGCCGCTCGCAAGTACCTGCCCATGCGCGTCTTCCAGACTTCAAAAGGCATCCCCAGAGTCGCTGCCTCCACGCACTGCAACGCTGCCCCTGCGTCACACGCCCAAGCGCCGCATAGACTGCAAGCGTCACGAATTCCGTAAATTCCTCTTAAAGGCCACCATGACAAGGAATACGCGGTCGAGGAGGGGCACTTGCGCTGGCTAGTAGCTCATTGCAGCTTACCACTAGCCAAGTCTTGAGGACCGCCAGCTTTGTGATTGACCATTGTGCGGAGCTGGTGCTGCAGCTTTCCGTCTACGCGTGAGCTTCCAGGTTGGTGCCGGAGAAGCTGCCTTCTGGTAAGTGCCCTGACTGCCTTGGTGCAGCTGCTGAGGTGCTCTGTGCAGCAGCATGCGTGTCTCTCTCATCGAAGGCAAAGCGTGTGGCTAGACTACTAGCTTACACCCGAGTGCGAGAGCAAGGCACTGGAGGACCCAGCAATAACAGTTTACGCATGCCCGGCTTGCTGCTCCCCAGAGCGCGGCAGCAGCTTCCTCGACTCTCGCAGCGGGGATGCTCTTGCCCCCAAGTTGCCGATGCTGTGTTGCGCATGCATGCAGTGAGGACGAAAGGCCCTCTTATGACATCGGGAGCATGCACACCACCACTCTTGCGATGCCTGCGTCTGCTGCGGGAAAGTTTTCCTGCGCCGGACGACGCTGCGTGAGGTGTTGTGGCAGACGGGAGAAACAGCCAGTCTCTCATGACCGGCGAATCAACTTCCTGGTAAGTTTGCAGGCAATTAATTTGCTGAAACGCAATCCCGCGTCCCCGGTTCCTATCGCCCTCCTCTGCCCGCCCTGGAAAGCCGAATCGCGCTCGAGAGTTTCGGGTGTCTCGCGAGGTACACCAGGTACCAGTCTTTCAGCTCGAAAAAAATGAATAAACTGCAGGCAAAACAAAAGACGGTACGGCATGCAGCTACCGAAAAGAAGCAGTAAATTCCATGACTCCAGATCGTCAAACCACTGGCAACGAGCACACTCGTGCCGCCTGAGTCGCCTTCAACGCTGCCACAGTTTCGGGTTGTCCGCACGTATAGATGGCTCTTTTGATGCTATTTTTTATTTGGCGTCCTTTCTAGAAGACTGGTTCTGTTTCTACGGCGGATTCCGGCGACAGAACCTCCTGCGCTGCTGCACGGGCCGCTGCCGACGCGGCAAAGTAGAGGCACCCGTTCGTTCCTCTGCTGAACTGTTCGGGAGCCGCTGAGTCTCCGAAGCAGTCAAATGGAATCGCAGCTGCAGGCAACTGCTGCGTCATCAGATGCTGCGTCTGGGGGCGGCTTCAACAGGTACTGCTCAGCAGAAGCCGCGCCATCAGAAGGGGCGACACGGCCAGGAGAGGCGCCACGATCAAGCGAAACGGCACTCTTAGGAGAGGCAATAGCGCAATCGCGAGAAACAGCACGATCAGCAGAGGCAGCGCCGTCAGGCGAAGGCACACAATTAGGAGCAGCAAGCGCAGATGCCACGAGCAATCTCTTCGGGGCCGCTGCGCCACCACATGCAAGTTCTGGCTTCAGCGTATCTGTGCCGGATGACACACGACCGGCTCCTGCAACAAACGTGGCAGCAGCCAGCGTCGGACAAACCGCAGCTGCGGCTACAGCTGCTTCGGCAGCAGCTGCTGCAGCTGGCGTGGCGCCTTTTGCGTTGGTTCGAGATTTGTTGCCGCAGCGGGGATGCTGTTGCTGCTCTGTGCAAGTCCTAGGCTTTGCCTCTGACAGTCTAAGGCGACAGCCCTCAGGTAACCAGAAAGCTCTGTGTGCACCCGCATATCTCTCGTGCAAGCACGCAACAAGCCACTCGCCTCCCTTCTGAACTATGCGCAGAGGCGCGAGCGTGGGGGTTGCGTGGCTGCAGGAGCACTCGTGAGGACCACTGAGGTCCTCGTCGGAGATGAGACGGGAGTCGTCTTGCTGCTCGTCCAGTCAGATCGCCATCGCCGTCTCTGCCAGGTAGCCGCTTTGACGAGCCAGGAGGGGTGCCTTTTGCAAGAGCACAGCCTTCTTTTTTGTCGAGCGGCGAGTAGCGAGGCGGAGTGTTGTAGTAGCGAGGCGGAGTGTTGGGGTCAGGGGGGAGGGGGAACAGCGGGCAGTCAGAAGAAGTCACGCCACGCTTACGGGCACCTTGCCACGGGGAAGAGGGGCAGGGGGTCTAGACCTCTTGGTGTTGGCTCTTGATTTGACTTGCGTTCTGCTTCAGCCGGGTTCCACCGTCTTGCTGCTGAACGCACTTGTTTGCTGCGTTGCTGGATTCGTCTGCCTCCGCCTCCCACGAGGAGACACTGCGGCGATTCTTCCTGCTGTCTCCTTGGCGGTGACCTCGCCGCTACTGAACGGTTGCAGGTCGCTTTTGCCTCCCCAGCTGCTGCTGCGGCAAGCGACGCCGCTGCCTACTCCCATCAAGCTGGAAACTCCCTCATAGTGCCGGCGGATGCGCCACAAGACACGCAACATGTGCTGCTGCTGCGGCAGCGTTTAGGAGTAGAGCTCTGTAGGTAGCAGCCCGCGAGATCTCGCTCTGTTGGGGGAGAGACAGAAAGAGAGAGGAAAAAGAAAGAGCACTCCGGAGCTTTCTTTTCGCGGCACCTTTCTAAATAAAGTCACACATTCTGCAAGACTTCTAGGGCACGCGAGAGCCAGCTCCGGCAGCTGGTTCTCGCGTCATCCGCCGCTGCTCCTCCCGCCTGCTGTACTTAGAAGGGGGGCAGACGCCCCTGGAAGATGGTCGGGTAGTCCGCATAGAGCGACTCGAATTCTGGGGGATTCGCTTCTTCGGTGTAGAGAAGGGCCTTATACAGAGACACTATGCCGTTGGATTCGCAAGAACCTGCAGCACCAAAAGCAGCAGGAAAAGCAGCGTCTGCTGCGGGTAGTTCGTGAGGAGACAGTTTGAGGCCCACGTGTAGGCGCACTGGTCAGGTTCGCTAGCCGGCTAGCGGTCAAACGCGCAGCGCATTTTCGAAGCTCGCGCTGAGGACAAAAAGCTAGTGCTGAGTTCATCCCCACCGGCAAGTCTGTAGGACTGCGTAGTTGAGTACACGAGTGCTTTCTTGATGCGAATGGCTGGTGTCTCGTTAGCCCTGAGCTGCGCGGCTCGCGGACTGAATGCCAGGATTGGAGACTCCAGCGCCTCTGTCTTTGCAGCGAGGGGTTGCAAGCCGTCTCGTGCCAACATCCCCTTTTCAGGAGTCTGGGGGAGGCCTCCCGTCTTCTCAAAATCGGCTACCCCATTTTGCTGAGCTTGCTGTGATAGCCAGTGTTGCTTCTGGTGCACCTCCTGTGGAAGCTGGCTCGTCAAGCCTCCCTTCAGCGGCGCATCCCTGAGATTGTGGCTGTACGCTGAGGGGCCTCTGAATGCCTGGGGAGCGCGCATCATGGCGACAGACATGTCGCCTAGTGTCTCGTCACCTCCGTTTATCGACGCCACTACCTAACCAGGACAGGCAGCGCAAAGCAGCGGCAGGAGCAAGCAGTGTCTTGCGCTTCTTCTGAACGCCTGGCTGCCTTCGGGGATAGTACAAGCACTTTGTGGAAGCAACGAGGCAGACACACGGACAGACAACGAGAGGGCCAGAGACTCACGCAGCCAGCAATCCTTAGCGAACCGAGACTGGCGGTTGACTCCAAAGAGCAAGCGAGCGAGAGCAGGCAGAAGGAGATAGATAGAGACAGAGAGAGATAATGCGAGCTAGGCAGGCGGATAGGGTAAAAAGCAGCACGCGTCGAGGCGCATGAAGGGCAAAATCAGATGGCGAATATTCGTCGACACCTACTTTCCCCATACTCAGCATCTCCCCCCAAATCGCAAGGGCCGCTCCAGCAACCAAAGCGGAGGCATACGACGTTCCGTCAACAAACCCGTAACCTGAGCGAGGCAGCAGCAGTAGCATCACCTCCACCAAGGGCTGTGCTCAGCGGTGGCGGCATGACTGCCGTAGCGCTGCGAATGTCTGCAGTGCACCAACACGAGCAGTCATGTGCCTAGCAGCCAACACAGCGGCAAGAGACAACTGCCTCACAAGTATTGCACTTGAGCCCGGGAGGTTTTCCTTGAACGACCGTTGCAGTGTACAGCCGCTGGCCTACAGCGTAGTGGCAGCAGCAGAAACGGGATATACGTGCGTTGGCGTCTGGCGAAACAGCGAGTGGTCTGCATAAATACACGCGTGCATGCGCGCTACAGATGCCAAATTTCGAGCTTCCCGGTCAGTCAATCACACCTGGAGCAAACAGATGCACCGTTTGCTTTCCGTAGTTGCTGCTCCTTGTTTTGGCACCCGCGTAGCTGCTGCTGCCGACCACCAGCATCCCCGATGGGCTTGGAAATCGGAAGGATGCGGGATAGGACCTAGGGAGCAGAAGAAGGGCGGGAGCACGCGCAGAGGAATGCAGCACTGGCACAGCAAGGTCGACTGCAAGAAACTCTTTCTCGTCTAGTGGGATTTCTAGAAGTGGCAAACACAGGCTGCAGGCGAGTGGAGCTTCTTCAGAGTCGACGTGCAGCCCATGGCGGGTGTGAGTTGTCTGCTGAAAGTCTAAGGCACTTGGGCGTCTTATCGCTGCTTGCATGTTCGTACACTCCAGTGACCTGTGCCTCGCCTTAGAGAGGACAGAGTGGTGTTCTGGGCTTTAGGGCCGATGCGCAAGGGCTAGGAATCTGAGTCAGGATACTTCCAGGCTTGTAGGATATATATATATATATACATATATACATATATCCATACTTGCATTCATCCGAGTCGAGGTCACACCCCTCATCTCCAGCGGCCACGATCGCTAGATGATTTGCAGAGAGAAACTTCTCAAAGGCTTGCCGGTACACTGTGCTCTCCCTGAATCGCAAACTGCCACCTCCGAATCACGGAGATCCAGCAATAGCGTGATCTCCCCTGCGGGTAAGCACGCCCACTCCTAGCCAGCGCCGCAATCCGTGAGTCACTCACGCCAAACCGCATCAGAAGAAGCACCCAGCTCACGGCACAAACCATAGATGACACGTCAAGATATGCAGCGGCGGCAAAAAGCCGAAGCGCCAGAGCGTGCAGCCGTATGGCTGCACTCTCCACTAGGGCCAGCCAGGCAAGCGCAGAAGACTGTTGCGCCCGCAGAGGTGTATGACGCCTTCCTCCACAGGCGTCACACACCCCAGAGCCTTCGGTAAGCGCTTTTTCTCCTTTCAGGCAGGGGACTAAGTACTCAAGATCCTCGTGCTTTCCCAGCAGCCGCTGCTTCACGGCTTTCTAGGTTTGCCTACGTCGCAAGGCTGTGAGGATGAATGGATATCTGAGCGCCCTGCTGGACAGCATAGTCCATTGCCATGAGTTGCCGAGAGAGCAAAACGCCTTGATGATCGCCTACCCTCAGACACATCACTTGGCCGGCAGGGGATACGCCTGGGCAGCCAACAAGCGCACAGCATGCCTGTCGTGATAAGGGTTTAAAGTTTCGCGGGAGGCTTTGGAGCTCTGTTCGTGCACACGGACTGGGCCCGTCCTCTTCCTCCTCCTGTCTACGCAGCCTGAGAGAAAGGGCAGTGTTAAATCAGCGAATAGGGCTCAAAATTTGCCTCTTCCGCCCTTGGCGTCGAAAGATGCGGCGATGAGAGCCGCCACTGCCGTTCCGTGGCCATATATGTCCTCTATGTTGTTGGTGTCTTCCACAAAATCCTGCCCGCAATCGCGTCAATTGCAACTCTCAAACATGTGCACTCTGCGTTGCTAAGGCCTCCTCCTCTCGCGCATGCAGCATGCAGGCGCTTCTCGAATTCTACAGAGCCAGCTGCATGAGATCTCTAGAGTGGAGGGGCCTCCCCCGCAGCATACCCATCCCTTGCAGTCGTTGATGTATCCGTTGTTGTCGTGGTCTTGCCCGTCGTCGCATTGCTCTGCACTGTTTGTCCAAAGAATGGCGTCGATATCTTCGTGGGGCCCACACCCCGTGTCTAGGAGAGCAACGACTACGTTTTTCTGACGCTCTGGAGCTGCAGGAGTGCAGAGGCGCAACAGGCGTTGTTGCTGCATTAAAAATGCCTTTGCAGAGGCAGCACTAATTGGAGGGACATGAAGCTCGCGCAGCTGCAGGTGCAGAACCAGTTGGGGGAGAGGGGTGGGGCGTTTCTGTGTGTAGCCTATGAGTCGCTACCGCTTGCTTCCTGCCACTCCAGCTATGGCAGCAGTTCGGCACTGGGGCGTCCTACTGCCTCGGTTTCAGTGTCTCTGCAATCTCGCGGATACTCCTGCCGACAAACTATTCTCGGTTTGCTTTTCTTTTGAATTGCCCTTCTTTTGACGTGGGATTGTTGAAGCATTAGATGTAGATACACCAGAATTCTGCTCCTATACATGTCCTCCGCTCACACGCTTGTTACGCTACTCTCTCTCGCCACCACGCGACCCCCTGTGTCGATGTGTGTGTGTGTGTATGTGCGTCTGTGTGTGTATCTGTGTCTGTGTGTTTGTGTGTCTGTGTCTGTGTGTTTGTGTGTTGATGTGTGTGTTTCTGTGTCTGTGTCCGTGTCTGTGTCTGTGTGTGTCGCCGTGTGTGTTTGTCTGTGTCTGTGCCCGCCCCCGTATTGCACGCCCATCAATGTGGCTTTTTTCAGCCGATCTCTGTCTCTGCTTTTCTCTTCTGCGTCTGCCTCACAGCTGGCTGTCTTCATTTGCTGCCACGCTTTGTCTGCTGCGAGATTGTAGAGGCCCTCTGAGGACCTGAGGTGCCACTGCAGCAGAATATTTGGATCTTGCACACCCGCCGTTCGTGATGCCGAAGCTGCTCTTCCTGCTGCAGACGTAAAGACACTCTGCACAGCCTCTAGTCTCGGAAGGCTCCCAGTGAGCTTTCCTCTCGTGTCCAGAGACACTGCCGAGACACACGAAGTGCCAGTGTTCCCCTTGAAGTGAGAGAGCAAGTCGTCGGCGGTTTGTAGACTCTTTTCCTGCCCAGCACAGGCACACGAATTTCCGCCCAGAGCAGTTCTGCAACCCCGTTGTGGCTGCTCCACTTGGTGGCAACCTCCGCCGTTGCGACGTGCAGCGCTTTTGGTCGTGCGCATCACCCATGGATGCGGCGCAAGGCCTTTGGTCGAAACTCTGCTGCGTATTTCTGCACTGCCACACAGCTACAGACTCTTTCAGCAGCAGCTACGTCAGCTTCTACCGTGGGCAGTGGACGCCCACCTGCATGAAGGGCTTCAAATTGGAAAATGTAACCACCTCCACTGCAAGGGACGAGAGGTATCGGGATATGAGGACCGGATGCTGGTGTTGCACCAGGCTCTCTAGCAGCAGCTCCCTGCAAGCGGAAGGAGTAGACGTGCTGCACAGAAAAGGCAGGTGTGCTTCGTCTGGCACATCGCCGCGCTGCAAATTAGGCTGATCCTCGTCCTTGACATTCTGCATCTTTCGCTGGGCTGCTGCTGCTGCTGCCCCCAAGTCAAAGTTGTGGCTGAAAAGCCGCGAGAGAGACTCGAGGCCAAACAGCCGATCCTCTAAAAGGTGCTGTTGGTCCGGCTGTTGCTTATTCAAGAATACGTCGCGTAGCAGCACTCCGTGTGTGTACAGCAGCTGCAGAGCCTCGTTGGGAGCCGGGGGAGAACTATCTGCTGCCGAGATTTTGTCGTCCAGATGTAGATACACCTCCACCTGATCGGTTTGGTGAGGCTGATGGCTTAGGCGTTGTGCTGACAAGCACGAATAATCCCACCCTAGCAGCATGGTGACCGCCTCAGGACCCTCTTGCAGCTTTCTGAGCACTTCCTGCACATGCCACACCAGCATTGGCAGCTTAAAGTATCGTGCAGGGCCTACAACCCTAAAGAACTGGCTGCAGCCACGTTCTGCAACATTGTATTATGCAGCCGGAGCTGCAGGTGTGTATCAGCGCGCGTGAGCCACCCTGAGTGTGATCTCGTCTGCTGGAGGAGCTTGTGCTGATCCTCCTTCCGCTGCGTCGTCAAGCCTTCTTGGTGGGGGGTGAGCGGCCATCGCAGCAGTAAAGGCTTTTGCGGAGTCAGCGAAGCTGCCAAACTGCCGTCTACAAGGAACAAACCAGCAGTCACCACAAGGAAAGTGTCTCCTTTTCTTGTGCTGTTCGTGTCCGCAGCGTAGCCGGTCTGAGCTGTACCACGAACTGCAACGGCAGAGGCTCAAAGAAGCGACAAACTAAAGAGGCCACCCCAGCAGCCACGAACTAAAGAGAGCTAGCCGCGAAAAGAAAAGCCAGACGGTACACGCAACGACGATATTGTATTCAGCAGGTCACCAGTCCCGCAGTGCCTGAACCATTTTCACCGTCAAGAGCAGAAATAATTGCTCACTGGAAGCTGAGGAACCCCAGCGAAGTACCCGGGCTGGAGGGCACCTCAATGTTTTCGAAAATCTCTCCCGTGCCGTCTTCATCGCAGAAACTTCCCGGCAGGACGTTATCCAGGTGCAGCAGAGAGGCAAGACCCCCCCCCTTAGAGACACTTTGTGGTGCGCCTGCTGTTGCTCCTTCCCGCCCCGATCTTGAACTCGCTGCTCCACCAGGGGAGACCAGCGAAGCTTCGACGAAGGTAGTTGTCGTGAAGCAGAAAGGAAAGAGTCCTACCATCAGGAGCCAGACGCCCCTCACGGGCCTGAGACTGGGAGTCATACTCGTTCGAACGTAGGTACAGCGAACCTCTACCAGCAGCACCAGCGTCGAATCGCCTTCAGAAGGCTCTCTTAAAGCAGCTAACTTCGAGGCAGGAGCAGCAGCAACAGCAGCACTAGAGGCCCTGCAGCTACCAGCAAGTCCAAAGGGGCGGCTACAAAGACTTGTAATAGAAACGGTCCTTGCTGCATCTACTCGTGTAGGACGAAGCACTTGCGGATATCGAAGCAAGGCTTGTGAGCGACTAATACTTCAAGGATCTGCATGCAAGCGCTCAGATATGGAAACGCCTTCTGCTCTACGCAGCCCCAGGTGACCCTTGATGGTGCAGCCCGCAAAACTGGAATCCCGAGAGTACACGGGGAAGCGTGGTGAGCCGTGATTTAGAAAGAGATTAATTTATTTCAAGGGTAGCTGCTGCGAATGGAGACACTGGCCGTGAACTTGTGACGGGCAAGGCAGGTTTGCAGTGGCTCTCTGTTGCACACGCGGCAGTAATGGTGCCGGGTGTACAGTCTACGGTCTGATTGAAATACGGTCGAAGGCCTCATGGGAGTTCGCCTCTTAGGAGGCGATTTCGCGGAAAAGTGGTGGGAAAGAGAAACGGAAACTCTGCCGCCTCTCGCGCCCTTGGTTTAGTGGAAGTTGCTACATCCACCACGCCGCAACAGCAGCAACCACCGCAACGCGTGCGTTAACAAGCGGAGGCCGAGCACTTCACATCCCTCAAAAAGCAAGCCAAAAATGATGCGCCTTCGGCTCTGGTGTGTGTCGACGGTTTCCCTCGCGACTTCTCAGCAGCAGCAATAAATTCGCAGCCGCAGGCAGCAGCAAAAATAACGCCGCAGGGGCCCCTGGGGCCCCCTGCACAGGACCCGCCGTGCCCTGTCTCTGTGCGACCGGGTGATTGAGAAAAAGTCTAAAGTTTGGATTGCAGTTTTGTTCTTTGCGCTTGCAACGAAGCCTCGATTTCTAGATCGGCAACGCCATCAACATCAGCGGCAGCAGGCCGCTACCCATGCAGCAGGAGCAGCAGAGAAGCATCCGTGTATCAGCACTTGTAGCAGCACCGGCGACTGCTTTGTGGCTTGAACTAATTGACCTGTTGTTTCTTTAAAGTTTGGGTCTGAAAGCTTCTGAAAAGGTTCATCCCTTTCGGCAGCCGCGGCAATTAGTGGTCCCTCCTGCTCCGCAGCCGCAGCAGCCGCTGCAGTGGCTCCGGCAGGCAGTTGCTGCTCGCGCAGCAGTTCTTGCTAAAACTGCCCGTCTCCAGTGTTTTTGCGTCGCGCGCAGAGGCAGCCCGTGCAGCGACTGCCGCTTCGGAGGCTGCATGGGCAGGATTCTTGCGGCTAGTCGCCTTCCCCGCTGCATGTGCTCCAATACGGCTGCCGAAACGTATCTTCCTGCCTTGCTGCCTCGATCGCGCAGAGGCAGATGCAAGGCGTGTAGGGGCCCCTGCAGACGAGGGATCCGCTCAACTTCTTGCGCCAGAAGAAGCAGCGAAAAGAGCAGCAGAGCTCCAGGCAGGGGTGTCTTGTGGTGGAAGACTTGAGGCAAGACGCAGCGACGGCGAACAAAGTCTCTCTGCCTCAGACTTATTTGAAACGGTAGAATCAGCGCCGGACCCTTCTAGCTGTCTGTCCACAGAGCTCCTCCTCCTGCTGCTGCTCAGCAGCACCTGCTGCCGCAACAATGGATCGCCATGAAGCAGGGGGAAGGCCTAGTGATGACGCTTCCCCCCCAGCCTACGTGGATCTTGAAACGCAGCAATCAGACGAAGCAGCGGCTCTCAGGCTGCACCAGCAGCTGAACGAAGAAGGTGAGACACGACTCTTCGAGGAGGCCAGCTTTCGCATCGTCGAGACACGAACAGAAAGCTTCCTCGCCTCTCACTCTCTCCGCCTGCCCTCCCCTGCCCTCCCCTCCCCCGATTCGCAAGAGTTTTTCCCCCAACTTCCGCAGCTGCCGCTGCCCGTGTTAATGACGCTGCTGCTGCTGCTTCTGTCGCCAACATGCTGCTGCTGCTGCCTCTTCTTCCGCTGCAGAGACGCTGTTGCAAGGAGAAAGGAGCTTCGTTCCCTACGTGTATGGCCTCTATATGGCTCTTATGAGCATCCAGGTAGCTCTGCTTGTCGGGCTTCTTTACGCATACAGTGGCGACTGGAGTAGGGTAAGCTGCTGCTGCGAGCGGTGCTACTGCTGCCACTACCACTGCTACTCCCAGCACTACTAGTACTGCCGAGGCGAGGCAGACTGCCGCTGTGCATGCGCAGCGGCAGCCCTGAGAGATGCTGAGCAGCGTGCATGCAGTCAGCCTGCATGCAGTCAGCCTGCTTCTTTTCGCCGCTTTCACCTGCTGCCAGATCCACTCCTCCTCCGCTGCTTCTGCTGCAGGCATGCGACTTCAACGCAAAGGTATGGTCTATCGTTTGCATCGGACGAGGCCTTTTGCAGTTAGTTCACAATGTGCTCATCACGACGCTGCGGCTAAGACGCCAGGCACCCCCCAGAAAGCTTCTTTTTTCATCTCGCCTGCTGTATCTCTTCGGCTTCTCGTGGTGGATTGTCGGCTTCAAAGTGCTCCTCATGACGCCTGGATGCGAAGACGGTAAGCGCCGCCGTCGCCGCTGTCGCCGCTGTCGCTGCTGTCGCTGCTGTCGCCGCTGTCGCTGCTGTAGTCGAGACTGTCGTTGCAGTTGCAGTTGTTTTCCCCACACTCCGTCATTCCTGCTCCTTGCTCCCAAGAAGCACAGGGAGAACGCAGGGAGAAGAAGAAAGAGCAGCAGGAAGAAGAGGATACCGACGTCGCTGTGTCTGCGCGTTTTTCCTTGAGTGTTTCGCCGCCGCCTCTCTCTCGCTCCCAGCCGCGCATGCCTCCCTCGAGCAGCAGCACTCCCTACTCCCTTCTTCTTCCTGCATTCTTTCAACTACAAAAGAAAACGGCACAAGCCATCAGAGACAGTGCTGCGTACACTGCTGCACACAGCTCTCCCTCCCCACGTCTGCTTCGCCTTTTTTTTGCTGCAGAGGCGACTTTAGCCGAGACTGTCTCTTTGATTCTCTTCTGGGCAACAGCTGTCGTGTATGCCATACCCTTCTTCATCTACGCAGTGGTTAGCTGGCTGAATTCGCAAAGGCTGCAGTTGTTGCCTCCCCTTTCTCCGCTGCTCCCTGCCCCTCCCCTCCTACCCAGGGAGGCACTACTACTGCTGCTACTAGTGCTGCTACTGCTGCTACTAGTGCTGCTACTACTACTACTACTACTACTACTACTACTGCTACTACTAGTGCTACTACTACTGCTGCTGCTACTAGTGCTACTACTACTGCTACTAGTGCTACTACTACTACTACTGCTGCTGCTACTACTGCTGCTACTAGTGCTACTACTACTAGTGCTACTACTACTGCTACTACTGCTGCTACTGCTACTACTACTGCTGCTACCACGCATGCCCTTGCTCACTGACTTTTGGGAGGGGCCTTGTTTGTCGCGCATAGTGTACACGTGTTGTGCATAATGTGCGCAGCTGTGCCTCTTCCTCCCGTGCATCATCTACTTCATCGTACGATTCGCGGTTCGACCGGCGGACAGACAGCCAACGCCCCAGGATATCTTAAGGCAGTTGCAATCGAAGACTTACAAGGATCTTCTGGAATCGCTGAAGCGGCAATACAGTCCGCAGCCTGCCTTCCCTGCGCCTCCAAACGTGGACGCCTGTAGCTTCTCGGTTCTACACAGGCAGAGCATGGTAGTCTGCGAGTTGCGCCTCTAGGGGGATACCTACGTGTACATACATGTATATGTATTACATGCATACGTATACATATGAATATGCATGTGTATTTTGGCTCGTCTTGTGCGTGCTTGCGCGGGCGCACGTACGCGCAGACATCGAGAATGACGCCATGATAGAGTCGCGAGACACCAGTTTGCTGCCCTCCCTCTCCCTCGAGAACGTTCTAGGAGGCGTGTCTTCCTTGCTGGGGGGAAACACAGGAGGCAGTCCGCCTTCCCCCCGCAGCGATCTTAGGGGGGCCCCTCTAGGCGACCCCATGCGACCACAGGGGCCCTCAATATCGGTGAACAAGTGCTGTCCGATTTGCATGGTGGATCTCGTTGACGATGACACTGTGCTCATCATGCCTTGCGATCCCAGGTGCGCTGCTCGCTGTGGAGGGCTTAGGAGACAGCGTCTCGAGTTAGGCTTTGCACGTGCGATCAGAGGCAGCAGCTGCGGCGATGGCTTGGAGAAAGCCCTCTCGAGGGTAGCAAAAAAAAATCTCCTAGCAGGAAGCGGGGGGGTTGTTGGGTTGTTGTTGGGGGGTTGGGCACGCCATGGAGCGAGCGTCTACATGTATAGATAGATATTCATATTATATCTGCGTGTGGGGGGGCTGTGCTGCAGACACTTCTTTCACCAGGCGTGTGTCGAGCATTGGCTCGAAACTAGCCAGGCGTGGTGAGCGAGCTCTCGACGTTGCACATCCTGCTTCCTTGAGCAGCTGAGCTGCTGTTTCGGTGCCTCGTTGAGGGTTTGGAGCTTGAAGGCTGCATGCTTTTGCGAAGTTTTGTGTGTTGCTTCAGCCCTATTTGCCGCGCCAACATAGTCCGCCTCATCACAGGAAATCGGAGCCCGCCTCTGGCTCACAGAGATGGCGGTTTGGAATTGCAAGTTTAGCGTTTAGGGGACAAGCCGATTAGCGGCAGCCTTAGGCACGGCAGCGGCAGCTGGCACTGCAGCGCCGCTGCCTCCACAGCAGGCAGGGCTGGTAGTGGTAGTGTTGCTGCTGCTGCAGCAGCAGCAGCAACACCACTACCGTAGTGCAATAGCAGCAGCGGCAGCCTTTGTAGCTGGATCTGCTGCACAGTGTTTTAGTGCACGTTGGCGCACCAGGCCTTGCTGTGTGCATGCATGCCATTGCAAGCCTTTGGGGAGCAGCAGCGGCTGCGTAGGAAGCGCCTAGTCTTTCATCCCTACAGCGGTGTCTGCTGCCCTCCTTAGGCTGCGGGGTTCGTTCACGCTTTCGCAATAAAGGCGCCGCTGGTCAAATGCGCGACACATGCGACGTGAGCGTCTTCCCCGCAAGATCTCTGCCTCGAAGGAACGGCTGAAAACTTAGTTGAGTGCTTCCAGGGAGGGCAGCGGCGGGGTTCAAACTTGAGCGCACACTGCACTCGGCGAAAAGCCAGGCGAAGCGGACTGAAGCCTCAGCCACAGATTTGCGTCTAGCGCTTAGGAGCCGCATGCAGCTGCTGCCGCGAACTGGGGCTTACAGGGGGGAGAGGCGAGTGGAGGGGTATTGTGTTTTGGGCAGTCTCAAGGTGTCGAGCCACAAAAACGCTGCCCTTGCAAGGCAGTTGGCTGCGTAGACTCCCACGCCTCCCCCGTTCCCCCCCCACGAACACAGAGGCGTAGAAGGAGTCTAGATCATTAGACATGCCGAGAGACGTGCGCGCATGCGCACCCCAGCCCAAAGCGAGATGCCTCTCTGCGGCGTAGGACGAATGCGGCGAGCGCTTCTAGGAAGGCTCCTGCCTCTCTCCTTGGGAACCTCCGGATGGCGGCGATTTCCCCTTCCCCCGCGCACAGACAGACCTGTGAGTCTAGCACTCCACGACGAAGGGGTGTCTTGGCAGCTCGCCCGTCTGGATGTCTAAGATATGCTCTTTGACTGCCTCTGCGAAGGACGCCGCGTGAAGCTGAGGATGCGCCTTCTTCTCCGCTGCCTCGATCCCCTCCGATCCCCCGTAAAACGTTCCCTGAAAATGCAACCCCTCCACGGGAACCACCAGTGCTCCTGTGCCTGTGCAGAAGATTTCCCGCACGCGGCCTTCTTTGAACGCTGGAATGAGATCCTTCTTCATCCGCACGTCACGCTCCGCCACTGCGTACGACGACGCATGCCACACCGCAGAAGCCACACCGCACGGCAAAAATCTCCTGGAGGCGCTGCTCCAAAAGTCGAGTTTTCAAGAGGCAAGACGCCTCCCCCCCTGTATCGAGCAAATAAACCATGCACGCCCCTGTACACACGGTACACTCGCCCTGGCCTTCCCGACACCGCTCAAAACTCGAGACGCGAAAAACAACCGCAACGCACACCTTCCTTCCCTTTCTCCCTTTCAGCATTCCCCGCTTTCAACACCCCTCTACCCCTTCCTGCGAGGCGTGCCTTTGATTTGCGGCCGTATAGCAGTAGCAACGTCCAACACTGTCTGCCTTGTAATGCCTGGAAGCACAAGATCTCTCCCCAAAGCGGGAGTCGCCAGCTCCTCCTCTCCCCTCTCGTTCACCCACAGCACAAACAGAGACATCGCGCCTGCCTCCGTCAGCAAAAAGTCGCCTCCTTCAGGAAACGTCCACAAAAGCTGCGCTTCCACACACAGCACACACACATACAGACACGCACATCCATCGACATACATTCGCCTAAGTACACATATATACATATATATATATACCTGCATATAAACACAGATACACATATATTCATACAAATACACATACATACATACATATACACACCTATGCGCATATGTACATACGTATACGCATACATACTCATACATATAGATACACATATATATGCATACATATAATACACATATCCGTAGATACACATATACATACGCATACGCATACATATTCACACATACATATACATACATGCATATACATCGGCATGCATACGCATATGTACGTATGCATACATATGCAAACATGCATTTACACACACACACACGCGTATATACACATACATACATACATTGATACACACATACAAACATGCACTTACACACACACACACGTATGTACACATATATACCCATATATACATACATTGATACACATATACATACACACCCATACTCATCCATACATATATATATATATATATATATATACATATGCATCCACACACAAGTATCCATACATGGATACACAGGGGAAACGACGAATCGCGGTGCGAAGCAGTTGGCAAGCCAATTCATCAGAAGAGCCTCAGTACCTCGCATGTGTAGGCACGCTGCTGACGCCTTCTGCTAAGCCGCAAGTCCTCACAGCTCACCTGACTACACCCTAGAGACAGTTTGTCTCTGCAAGGCTTGAGGGTGGGAGCGTAGTTGCTTGCTACCTTGTAGGCTCCACAGCTTCCAGGCCAAGAACGCACAAATTCAGTTTCCACATGCAGTTTGATGGAGGGTGCTGCATCAATTTTTACAAAGACACCCCAGGTTCCCAGCATCTGTGATCGCTGCTCCTGCTCCCCTCCGGAGAAAGCGTGTCTTGGAATTCGATTATTGCCGTTACAGTCCCGTTAGACTCGCAGCATGCAGAGCCATGTGCACGACTCGCAACACTGCAGCTGCAGCAGCAGCCTTCACAAGCGATGGCATGGAGCAGGACGAGAAGGGAGACGAAAGGAGGGGGAGAAAAGGAGCAGCAAGCCAAGCCAAAGTCGCGTGGAGCATCGAAGGCAGGGAGAAGGGGGGCTTCCGGTGCCTCCGCCACATCGCCAGAAAAATGCAACAAAAATCAATTGTCACCCACCCCCCTTTCCCCTTTCTCTCCCGCCTTTCTCACCAAAATACGCGCCACTTGGGCATCCAAGAACAATGAGCTTCGCTGCACGTGCTGGATATACACCCAGAGTTGTCTGCAGAAAAAAACACCTTTGAAAGCCTAAACAGCCATCAAACCACGTAGCAGAGACAGAGGGCGGCACTTCAAGCCCTCTCACTCTCTCTGTCTCTATCCCTCTGACTCTCCCTCACCTTCTCACTCTCTCTGTCTCTATCCCTTTGACTCTCCCTCACCTTCTCACTCTCTCTGTCTCTATCCCTTTGACTCTCCCTCACCTTCTCACTCGCTCTGTCTCTATCCCTTTGACTCTCCCTCACCTTCTCACTCTCTCTGTCTCTATCCCTTTGACTCTCCCTCACCTTCTCACTCGCTCTGTCTCTGTCCCTTTGACTCTCCCTCACTTTCTCACTCGCTCTGTCTCTATCCCTTTGACTCTCCCTCACCTTCTCACTCTCTCTGTCTCTATCCCTCTGACTCTCCCTCACCTTCTCACTCTCTCTCTGTCTCTATCCCTTTGACTCTCCCTCACTTTCTCACTCTCTCTGTCTCTATCCCTTTGACTCTCCCTCACCTTCCCACTCTCTCTCTCTCTATCCCTTTGACTCTCCCTCACCTTCCCACTCTCTCTGTCTCTATCCCTTTGACTCTCCCTCACCTTCTCACTCTCTCTCTCTATCCCTTTGACTCTCCCTCACCTTCTCACTCTCTCTCTCTCTGTCCCTTTGACTCTCCCTCACCTTCTCACTCTCTCTGTCTCTATCCCTTTGACTCTCCCTCACCTTCTCACTCTCTCTGTCTCTATCCCTTTGACTCTCCCTCACTTTTTCTCTCTCTCTGTCTCTCTCTCCCTCTCTGTCTCTCTCTTGATGCATGTGCATGTGTGTGTGCACAGTTGCGCCTTGAACGCCGCACCCCCTCCCCGTTCCCCCCTCGTTCCTCATTCGATTCGACTCTCCGTCTGTGCACATCTTACGTATGTGGAAAAGAGCAGAGGCCTCAAATAGAGCGAGCACCCCCTTTCTGCGGGAACGTACGCCTCTTCGATTTGAACAAAGCGCTTGAGCAGTTCGAGGAAGGGTTTGGATTCGACTGTTGGCAGCGCCAGTCTTTCTGCGGAGAGGATGAATCGCTGGATGTGATCCTCGGGGCGAAAGAGCAGCAGTCTGCCTTCCCTGCTCTTGCTGGCCTTTAGGCCTTCCAAACAAGAAATGCCGTAGTGTAGAGCAGTGCTCCCCGGATGTAGCGCCAGCTCGCGCAGGGGCAGAATCTTGGGAGGCAGCCAGCCCGTCTGATCTGACCAGTCTGCCTCGCACATCATGCTGGAGTACGTCGAGGCGAAGCCTAAGCCCTTTGTCGGAGGCACGGGGGGTCTATCCCCGATTCTCGGCTCAATCGAGAGCTGCTGCAAGGAGAAAGGCTGCAAACGGCTTGCCCCTTCGACTGCCTTCTGCGTCGCAAAGGGACGAACGGAAAGCCTCGAAACTCGCAGCATGCCAGCAGCGCATCTGCTTGCGGCAAACATCCTCTTGGCCTTTAAAGAGCTATTCGGCGTGCCCTCAGGCTTCGGCTGGAAGCGCCTTCGTCAGGACGCCTCCATGCAAAGTCAAGAAGGAAGGAGGGGAAAGAGAGAGAGAAAGAAAGAGATGGCTAGCGGGAACGGTGAGGAGCTCGAGGACGAGGCTTCTTCCCCGAGCCGCTCAAACCTTCCGCCCGCAGAAGGGGGCTCCCTGTAAGGCTCCCAGTGTTTTTTTGAAATAAATACGAGGAAAACGCCAAGGAAGGCGTCGCACTTTGGACTTCGAAAAAACGGTTCGAGTGTGGGAAGGGGAACGGCGCCAGTGCCTTGGGGTGCTGTCGGTGGACTAGTAGGCAAGCACGCCCATGCAAGCTCCAATATTCTGCACTGCAATTCTTAAAAAGCACCTTTTTGCAAATCACATGCCACACCACACGCTCCAAAGCCTCAACCATTCGCATTCGCGCCTCAAGCCCACCTACAAGCCCGCACATGTGCCCCCCTGTCTCGACAGCTTTCGGCTGCGCCGCTTCGAAGCTCGCCATTTCGCCTCTCTCTGTGTCTTGGAGCCATTCTGCGTCTTTTCCGTAAACACCTTTCTGCATTCGAGGCAACTGCTCTCGCAGAATAACTCCTCCGCAGACAGATCATTACAGCGAGAGGCGGCCAAGTGTCTCCCCACACCATTGACCCCTTTTGGCACACGTAGCCGCACAGCAACCCCGGCTGCCGCCGAATATATATATATATATATATATATATATATATATATATATATATATATATAAATACATATATATCTCAGCGCCTAGATCCACGACTCTTTCCATGTGTAAGATTCCGCTACACTGCACCCCAATGCCTTGTGCGTTGTCTTTCCCTCCAATCTCTTCAAAGACCGCTAGTCAGCGAACCCGTAGGCAGCGAAGAAGACTACGAACACTTCAGCAGTCAGTCTGCGACACACGCGCTCCCGACTGATTACAGGCTGATATTTCCATGAGCGTGGCGCCTGTGTGACGCGCATATTGGGTTTGTCCAGCGAAGAACAAACTTCTTGCACTGGCAACAGAAAAGCAAATTGCGCATGCCAGTGCAACTGTGCAGTTTGTTCGTAAGATCCTGTGCTATAACTCAGAGCTTTCTACGCGCACACATACACACACAAGCTGCAGTGCCTTGCACGCCTGCTACCCTCGCCGGCCTTTCAGCAGGCGTGAATCTTTATATATATATATATAAATATATATACATATATATGTATATATATATATATATAGAAAGCAAGGAACGATTCACGGAAAGAGATCAGGTTGAGCACGAAACCAGCCTTTTTCTCGAGTTTCGCATGTTCTCGTTGAGGCTCTGTCTCCTTGTGGAGAGAGAGGGCAGAAAAGCTCTTGGTCTAAGTCTCGTGAGGCAACTGCAGGACCAAGAGAAACTGCTGACTCGAACTAGCCACGAACAATGAGAGAGCTGCTGAGGGTGCAAACTGCGCGCCTGACTCGAGGCCAGTGAGGCAGGCAGGCATGTGTGGCAACGGAGAAAAAGACTGCCAAGTCTCATTTGCCACCTCCTAGGAGAGCTGCTGCATGTGTGCCACACCGGTTCTTGAACGGGCTATCACCACACTGCGGCGTCTGCTACTTAGAAAGCGGAGGTGAGGTAGACACCCTCCGCCTTCTCCTCCCTTTCACTGCAGACATGGTGCTCTTCTCGTTAAAACAGAAGCAGCAGCACAGGGGTGCAGGCGAGCGGGCAGCACTTTAGAAAAATGACGAGGCAGCAATAAAGCGGCAGCGACACGGCAGCAGCAAAAGGGTCGTATCTCTACTCGAAAATGCAAAGGTGGAAATGTATCGAAAGTGCACCAGAAGCCAAGGAGAGATATTATTACACAGTCCAAAAAGCCTCTGCCTGTTGTGCCTGTAAAAATCAAGAGGGCATGCAGAAGGGAGGCGCCAGAAACTAACAACTAAGGCGTATCAAGCGCCTAGCCGTTGCTGCAATGCCAAGACTGCTACTGCTATCGTTGTTGCTGTGCGTGTGGAATGGTAAAGGCCAGATCCGCAAAAAGAGAGCAGGCAGAATTAGGGGGGAGGAGAATTAGCCAGAAGCACTCGTTGACACAACGACTGCCGCCCCCACTGAGCGCGTTTGCATCTTCAGGCAAAGCAGAACGTGCTGCACCTGGTGTTGTTGCTGCTGCTGCTGCTTTTGCTGAGCGATGATGGTGCTCCAGCAGGGGTCATAATACAGGAAGGAGATTAGCTGTGGAGAAAGGCGAGCAACTGCTCAGCTTCTTCGGGAGCGCAGCGAACGAGAAGCTCCTCTACAAAATCCCTGCTCCCAAAAAAGCGCATTACATATTGCCGAGAGACAGAGAGAAAGAGACACACATCCACACATACACATCCACACACACATCCACACACACATCCACATCTGCTAGCCACTACACCTCCCCGCCAACAAATGACTGGCAACTGCAGCAGCAGCAGACAAACAACTCACCACACGGCAGCAAAACACCACCATCCCGCAAGCTGCCCCCTCTTCTGTACACCCCTTACTCCAAAGTACACCTGCCTTTTCTCCCCCTTCTCCCCGCTGTGCCTCCTACACCTCTGGATTCTTGCCGAGGAAACAAATCCAGCAGCCGCATCGAGCACCCCTCGCGCAACACTGCAACAACTGCAAATCAACAACAACAACTCAGCATGCCGCACCAACTACTCCACTTGGTAGGGTGGTACTCCTTGAACCTTCCCTCAGACAAAAACTGTTGCATCTCCTTGTAGAATGAGAGGCGCTGCGATTCTCGCAGCGTCGCTCGAACAAGCTGCCGAGATGCCTCACGAGACACTATGGCCGCCTTTAACCCTGCAGCAACCAAAAAGAATACTCGACATCCCCCCTTTTAAACCAACAACACGTCCACTAAGCCTCTTGCACTTTTTCAGAGGCATTTTAAGTCTCCCCGCGCGCATGCCCTCATATCCTCCTGCCTTCTGCACACGCAACAGAGGCACGCTGCGCTAGCTGCTACGCTAGCTGCTGCTGGTGCTGCTACGCTAGCTGCTGTCGCTGCTGCACTGCGCTAGCTGTCGTCGCTAGCTGCTACGCTAGCTGCTGTCGCTGCTGCACTGCGCTAGCTGCTGCTGGTGCTGCTACGCTAGCTGCTGTCGCTGCTGCACTGCGCTAGCTGTCGCCGCTACCGTCTAGCACACTGCGCTAGCTGCTGCTGCTGCTGCTGCTGCTGCTGCTGCTGCTGCTGCTGCTGCTGCTGCTGCTGTCGCTGCTGCACTGCGCTAGCTGTCGCCGCTACCGTCTAGCACACTGCGCTAGCTGTCATCGCTAGCTGCTACGCTAGCTGCTGTCGCTGCTGCACTGCGCTAGCTGTCGTCGCTACCGTCTAGCACACTGCGCTAGCTGTCGTCGCTAGCTGCTACGCTAGCTGCTGTCGCTGCTGCACTGTGCTAGCTGTCGCCGCTACCGTCTAGCACACTGCGCTAGCTGCTGCTGCTGCTGCTACGCTAGCTGCTGCTGCTGCTGCTGTCGCTGCTGCACTGCGCTAGCTGTCGTCGCTACCGTCTAGCTAGCTGCCGACTTGCAGCCAACACCTACCAGGAGGTCTTTCTCGATAAAAGTGCCAGCAGAGACCAACGTCACTCCTGAACTCGATGGAGAGGTATCCGACAGACATGAAGCTGGCGATCTTCCTTTCCTGCTGCTGCAGATGCTGCTGTTGCTGCTGCAGATGCTGCTGTTGCTGCTGCAGATGCTGCTGTTGCTGCTGCTCTGGAAGGCGCGCTTCTAGCTTGGCAGCCACTGCAGCAGGCACTTGTTGCAGTTCGAGCACCAAGACTGGCAAGGTGGAATATTTGAGCTGAATGGTCTGCTGGGAAGGCAGCACGCGCCTTTCAGAAGCGTCAGCCTCTGCAGTCCTCTGCTGCGGCAACAAGGAATTCGCTGTTGATCCGACAAAGCTCCCTAGACATCGAGTTGCAGCCGCTACCAACTCTGCTGCTGGTTTCAGTGCAGCTCGGCTGCAGACAGGCGCAAAGGGCACGCAGCAGTACAGACAGCCAGCGCATGCCATCGGGAGCTTCTTGCGCAAACAGCGGCGAAAGAAAGAACAAAGCGCAGATGCTCGCGAAAAAAGCTCAGCATCAGCAGCAGCAGCAGTCGCAAAGCCTCAGACGTAAGCAACACAGCGGCGAAAGAAAGAACAAAGCGCAGATGCTCGCGAAAAAAGCTCAGCATCAGCCTCAGCAGCAGTCGCAAAGCCTCAGACGTAAGCAACACAGCGGCGACATGAAGAGACGTTTGTACTGACTTGAGATCCTCTGCTTTGAAGAGACACAAGTACACAGAGCTGACGGCTAGGCGATAGGGAAAGCCGCTACTGCTGGCAGAGCTGCCAAGACTGCGAGGCTTCCTTTTCCACCACGCTGCAAGTGCAGCAGCTTCTCTGGGAGCAACTGCTGCCGCCTCTGCAGCTGCTGCAGAGGTGACGGCAGAAATCCTCGCCTCAGTGCTCACGCCGCTGCACTGCCGAGCAGCAGCGACAGCTCCAGTGCGCTGCGCGTTTTGAAGAAGCTGATGGCTGCCGCCGCTTCCTTCGTCAGACGCAAAGGCTGCAGAGGCACTGCTCACAGCTGCAGCTGCAGCAGCAGTGGTGGTAGCGGCACTGCCTTGCTGCGTTCTGGGGTGGAGAATGCGAGACATGACGTTCTTCAAGATCAAATTAAAGGGCCGACGTCTAGGCTTGTAGGCGGCGAGGCTACTGATGCTGCTGCTGCTGCTGGCGCTGCTGCTGCTGCTGTTGCGGGAAGCTCTCGAGACAGCGGAGAAGTGCTGCAAAAGCCTTCTTTCCGCCCCCCCCCCCCTTCCTGTTGCAGCGCCTCCTGACTGCAATGTCTGCTGCGGCTGCGCCTCGCATGGAGCCGCAGTCTGTCCTACAACCGTCTGCTGCATCTGCTGCTGCATTTGCTGCTGCATTTGCTGCTCTTCCTCTTCCTCTTCTGTCTCAGCGTCAGCAGCTGCAGCAACTGTAGCCGGTTCGAATGCCTGCTGCTGCAACAACTCGAGAAATGACAACATTTCGGCAGCGTCTGCTGTTGGTCTTCCGATGGGAATGACACGCGAAGGCTTGCATGGGTAGCGGCATGCGCTGCAGCACACAGCAGCGTACAGCAGCACCCCCTGCATGCGCCTTGGCACGTCATGAAAACAGCCTTAACTGCCAGCAGCTGCTCCTTTTGCTTCTGCCCACCCCCCCCCGTCTCCCTACCCCCCTACTGTTCGCACAGTCAGCAGCCGAATGCGGAGAAACGCATCCATGCATGCATGCATGCACACTTACGCCTTCAAAATGACTCTGCAAAAATCCTTGCAGTTCCAGCCGACAACTCTGTAGCTGCGGCTCTTGACGCTCAGCAGCAGCTGCAGCAGCACTGCAGCAGGCAAATACACCAGCTGCTGCTGCTGCTGTCGCCGCAAAAGCTGCAGCTTGCATGTGTTCTGCCGCAACAGCAGAGATTCCACTCCAGACTCAAGCCCCACAACGGCCTCTCGCATGCCGCTGCTGCTGCTGCTGCTGCTGCCGCTGCTGCTGCTGCTGCTGCTGCTGCTGCCTCCTTCATACACTGCGATTTTGCATGCAGATGAGAGAATGGCTGGAAAGCCCTCACTAAAGCCCCACTCAATTCTGCCGCCTTTGACATCTCCGAAAAAATCCATCGAGAGGTATCCACACAAAAGGTTGCTGCCCCCTTCAGCGACTGCAGCTCTTCCTCGAGGTTGGCTAAACTCTAAAATGATTTGCTGATGAGCAAAGGTGTTGCTGCTCAGCAAGAGACCACCAACCGCTCCAAGCGTGTTTTCCATTCTATGGAAAACCACGCAGATACGCATGCAGTCTCCTAGCTGCTCTGTGCTGCTGCTCGAGCTGCTGCTGCTGCTCGAGCTGCTGCTGCTCGAGCTGCTGTTGCTGCTGCTGCTCGAGCTGCTGCTCGAGCTGCTGCTGCTACTTCGCTGCACGAGCCACTGCAGCAACTCTTGCATTCCTTGAGCAGCACATGCGGGAGCAGGCACTAGACGTTCTCCGGCTGCATTGTTTTCGCCGTGAATCCTCTGCAGAAGCCACTGCTGCTTCTGCTGCTGGCGATGCAGCTGCTGCAGCTCGTCTGGATACTTATCCCGTTCAAGCGGTATAGTATAGTCCTCGAGATCGTCTTCTGAGTCTTCCATATCTCCAGCCTCTGCCATCGCTGCAGTAGCTATCACAACTGGAAGTTGCGCTGCTGCAGCCTCTGGCAATCCAGGCAGTTCCACCTCCTGCTCTTCTAGCGGTGTCTCGACGCCCTCAGATGTTCGTACAGAAGCTTGGCTATTGCTGCTGTTGCTGTTGCTGCTGTTGCTGCTATTGCTGTTGCTGCTGCTGCTGTTGCTGCTGCTGCTATTGCTGCTATTGCTGCTATCCTGAGCCGTAGTCGTGAAATCAGAGCAGCCACGGCACGAGCTGCCACTGCCACTGTCACCCTCAGCACCAGTGAGACGCTTACACCTCCGTTCCTTTTGCCTCTCCAAACAACTCTGCGTGGTGTGAGTTGTGTGCCAGGTTGAAAGCGTTCCGATCCAGTCGCATGCACCGCACTGTACAGGCAGCAGCAAGTACTGCAAAGGAAGCATAACAGCAGCAAAAACGCCCGTGGACTGTACTTCTTTTTCCACTTACCCCCTTCCTCCCCCCTCCCAGACTTCCGTCTGTCTGTCTCCCTTCTGCTGCTCTCCTGCTGCTCTTGTTGCCACTCACATGCAAATGCAAATCCACAAGAGACTCTTGCTCGGCTTCCTCCAGAGGCTTCACACTACGAACATACAGGGGACTGCAGCAGCCAGCACACACACGAAAATACACACTACAGGAACAGACCCTTACTACAGCGACAATAAGTAATATGGCAACTACTTGATTACAGGAAAAATTCGATTACAGGTACAACTTGATGACAGCAACACCTTTACTAGAGCAACAACTTGATTAGAGCAACACCTTGATTACAGCAACAATGAATGATACATCAACACCTTTATTACAGCAACACCTTTATTACAGCAACACCTTTATTACAGCAACACCTTCATTACAGGAACAATTTGATGACAGCAACACCTTGATTACAGCAACAATGAATGATACATCAACACCTTTATTACAGCAACACCTTTATTACAGCAACACCTTCATTACAGGAACAATTTGATGACAGCAACACCTTGATTACAGCAACAATGAATGATACATCAACACCTTTATTACAGCAACACC